GAAAAAGGGGACTGAAATGCTGAAATGTTAGGGGCACTGTCCCAAAAGAGCAGGACAGTAGAGAATTTTGTAGAACTATTTAAAGAGCGGTGGGAGCAGAAGAGCCTCAGAAGCAACCACAGAAGTTGCAAAACGGCTTGGGAACTCTTCAAGTATCAGCTGCAAGCTGTAGTAAGAAGTGGGGAGGACATAAAGCCAGATTGCACCCACTCAGCTTGTTTGTCTCAGATTTTCTAGACCATGAAGTCTGCAAAGCCTTTTTATGTGAGCAGGATCTTTCTCAGCACAACAGAATGAATAGCAGAAAAAAGGGCAAACAACTGAGTACTGAAGAGAGGATAAGGAGCCATAAATCAAGTTGTGAGGAAACATTCAGCCATATTCCTCACTAAGTCAGTTTTTTCCGCTATCCCCTGCATATAGATCTGTATATGACGGACTGAGAGAGCTCAGTTCAGACGTTGGCAAGCTCTGCTTTCCTAATCTGTAGACTGTGCTAGAAAGCTTCCTTTACCAGGTCAGACTATTCTTCAGTTTAGTTCAGTTTGCCAGCTATCCAGTGGTAGCTCCATCTCCTCTGGTGGGAGTGTTTCCCAGAGCCCTTGATACTCATTTATTAAAAAAGAAAAGAAAAGAAAAGAAAAGAAAAGAAAAGAAAAGAAAAGAAAAGAAAAAAAAAGCTGTAGATGCTAGGACTTGAAGTGTATGCAAGCACAGCATGGCCTCTGCACTGAGATATGGTCCATCTGTATTATTATCCAGATACCTGCTGGAATATTCTGTGTGACCTCTTCATCCCAATCTGTCTGCTACAAAGGACAGACCAACTGTGCAGCTTGGACATTCCTTCTCTCTCTCTCTCTCTCTCTCTCTCTCTCTCTGTCCCTGACACACACACTGATTGCGCACTCTCTTAATTGTTGAAAGCAAGACATAAACTCACATTCAGGTTTTGCTCTCCATTGTACTGCTGTGCAGACCTGCTGACCAATTTGCTGGTAAACAGCCTTTCAATTTACAAATGGAGTGCACTGGACTTGCATTCTTGCTTGAATTAGTTTTTACTTTCCCAAAATCTCATCTAAGGTAACAGTAATGACTTTTTCATACCAAAGGACAAAAACTGTTTGCATCATGATCTGATAAAGGAGACCAATTAGGAACGGAGGCTTTCATCAGTTATCTTTAAATAATCTCAGCGTTATGCACATTGTGGAATCAAGTTACACCCTGGGTTCATAAGTTACTCTCAATTTTCTTTTTTAAATAAAGGAAGAGTGAAAAGAACATTTATCCGGCTGCACAGTATAACAAGTAACTCAGCAGGTAGTACCTGCAAGAATTCAGAAATATATATATAGTCTCCTTATCATGTAAGTGAAATCAGAACTTAAACCAAGATAAATCTGAAACACGTCATATTGCTCTAATGAGCTGCTTAATCCTGCGCTCTCCTTTTCTCCTGCTAGGTACTCAATGGCATGTCCTAAAATGACTCTTCTTCACTGACTGATAGACTGCTGGGCATAATCAAGACCATTACTTCCAAGTAGCTACTGGGAAGTTTGTATGCAACTCACATCTGAAGATAGCCAACACCCTTTGTTTTCTATAGGTTTCAGCAAGAAACCTTTGGTGGACAATTTGTATTCAAAGAATCAGTACTGAAAACTGCAGGGGTAAGTGAGATTGGGATTGGGATAGTGGGGTCAGGGAAGGGGAGAAGTGACCAAAACACATTCCTGAATTCACAGGACTTAAATCTGTCATATCCAGTTAGAAGGCACTGATTAGCCAAAACAAAAAAACAACTATGCAATGACAGATCTCTTTTGTACTTGTATGGGAGACCCCCAGAACTCTCAGCTAAGGTGGAAAGTTGGAAAGAACATCCTGGAAGAAAGGAACAGTAAACCAACCCCATATTGTAGCAAGAAAACAATACAGATCATGCCCTCACCACAAATCAAGCTCAGCTCAAGAGCAACTTACTCCTGCAACCAAGTCTCGGCTATATCTACCATCTCCTAACTGCACTTTCCTTTACTGCTGCTGCTTCTTGTTTTTTTCCAGCCACATAACAGATGCAATTCAATAACTTTCCTAACCTACTATGAAGATCTCTACGTTCCTTTACTAATTTTATATTTTTAAGGTAAGGAATGTGGAATGGCACCACCTGTTAGTTTCTCTCCAAATCTAACTGAATGCCAACAATTAATTATGACATGTTACAACATTCTAACATTGTTTGGTAGGAATTAAGATGCAATCCATGTGCCATGATGGCACACTTAAGATTTAAGTGTGTGCACGCTCTGGACGCCATAATGAGCTACATTTCCATAATCCATCAAGCATATTCATCATAAAGTATGATCCGTACATGTAGGAACAGGGTCATTCATGTAACAGCCTATATCTCTCTGACCTTTCAGATTGCGCATTGCTGTGTTCCTTCTCTCCTTCGACAAGTTATCTCCTCTTTATCTCTATTGCTGTTTTTTAATTTTTCATCCAGTTCTATCCTTTCTTCATAGGGAAATTCAACATTTTGGGGAAGGGAGTATTTTAAAGAAGTTATTGTAAACAGAATGACTGTAGATGAGCAGGGCACCAAAACAAAACAACCTCATCATTTAAAAGATATGGCTGTCAACTTAAAAAAAAAATGTATAATTGTACACACTCAATCTTACAATATATTCTGCTTACCCACTGTGAATGTATGAACTTCCAAGTTTACATGCCCCTACATGTTCCATCAATCTTGCTCAACAGAGCCAAAGACCTGTTAGCATAACTGGTGGGATCTATAGTTGAACAGATCCAGAGAGCACTAGATTGCAGTCACTGTTCTTCTCCATTCTTGTTTGTCAGACCACATCTGGAATATTGCATCCAGTTCTGAACACTGCATTTTAGGAAGGGCATTGAAAAACTGGAGTGCATCAAGAGAAGACCAGCCAAGTTAAGAAAGGGTCTAGAAGAAAACATAAGGGACAATGGAGGCATTGGGTATGTTTAGTCTGAAAAAGACGGTGAGGAAATATGATAGCTGTCTTCAAGTATCTGAAGTGTCATCATGCAGAGGACAGGTTTAGGATTAACAAGAATTTCTGTTCTGTTGAACAGATTGAACATTGAACAGATGTTTTATGAGATGGTAGACTTCCTTTCATTGAACTGTCTAAACAAAAGCTAGATAGTCACCTGTCTGAGATGTGGCAACAGTGGATTCCTGCATTGGGCACCTGGCTAAATTAGACGATCTCCAAATTTACTTCCAACTCTAAGATTCTATGAGGATGTGATATGAGTCAAAGATTCATGTACCCTTGTATGGCATCCTTTAGCTGGAGGTGATTTTTCAGGAACCTAGGCAGGAATCTTTTCCTGCTGTTTTTGTGATTCTTACAATCTTGCATGTTATGATTCTGGTGATTGACTCTAGGATTTTTAAGACTAAGTGCACGTCCCCCCACTATAATGTGCTATCTAGAAGAACACCAAATTCTCTACCTTGTGGTCAAGATGAAGTGCTTTTAAAACTGCAGCCTTAAACTGGACCTATCTGGAAGTCAATCTCACTCAAATGCATTTATCTCCAAGCACGTGTATCTAGGGTTTAGATACTGATATTCACACATTAAGTATTTTATATCAACTGGATTGTGTTCTGTATTTATTCTGGCAATTTCTGCTCCAGCTTTCCCTTTACTACCATCTTAGGCCCTCTAATCTTTCTGCTCATCCTTGGATGTGTACCTCATCTAATTTTTTTTTTAATGAGTCCTGTTTCTTTATTGTTGTTGTTGTTTTAATTCTGGCAACGTGAACTCAAGTCCACAAAGTTTATACTACAATAAATCTTTCAGCTTTTCAAATGCCGCAAAAATCCTGTTTCTTCCAGCCTATTCTCATGAAGGATAATTTCAAGAAGACTCAAACTGCCAGGGGAAGAGGTTGAAACAGGAGACATATATAAAGTCAGACCTCTACACCTTATGAATTTGAAAACCAAAAGAACCCCCACCCCCAAAAAAACCTTTACAGAAATGTCCAATCATCCAATTTACAAGACTATGGCAAGGAGAGAATCAAGAGCAAGGAGAATGTCCTACCTGTAATCCTGTTCCAAAAAGTTTCATTCTCCTTTCCCCCACACACTTTTTTTGATTTTTGGCCAGTTGCGGGGTCCAGAGAACCTGGAAACCAAGGTTGCAGAGTAAAGAAAACAGATTGCGAGGGAGTCAGAATCCAGCAGTAACCTCTGTATCTTGTTCTTCCATATCTTTCCAAAAAAGAAGAGGGAGGGAGGGAGGGAGGGATAAAAAAGCACATTAGTTCATGGTGAAGATGGGAAGAGCAAAGCCCAAGCTACTATCCTAGGTGCCTTGACTAGAGTAAATTTAAAGGGATTTCTTTCCGAGTAAACAAAATGTGCATAGGCTGTTGCTGCGCCGCTGAAACCAGATGCTTCCCCCGTCAGTCTTTTGACAGGGGGAAGAAAAAAACAAAACTAACCCCCCC